GGAAAAACAACACATTAAGGCTGCAATGTGTGGATTACAAGCATTATTTTTTTTGCATGAAAACATAGCAATGTCTAAGGCCAGGAAAAAAAAAATAAAACCAAAGCAATACAAAATATAACCAATGCCCTTTCTCCAATTTGTTGGCCTACTCGCCCAGACGCTAACCAAAGGAAACAAACTATCCTACATCTCTGCTTCCCAAATTAGTTCTCTTAATGTAAAGTTTAATAGGAAAGAGGAAAAATCCCTCTCTGAAGAACCTAGAGAATAGCATATTTGTTGCTACTGATCAAACTAACACAGAGCACCGATCTACATTTCCACTATACTTTAGACACCAATATGCACAAGATGGGCAGGATAGCTGCTAGTAATCTAACCTAACAAATCTTCACCCTCCTCTCTTGAGCTTTGAATTTACATTTTTCAGTAACACATACCACAGTGACCAGCTGCTGGGAAGACAAATTATAGCAGGCATTGCATTGTATTATTCAGTATTTGTTATGCCACAGCCAAAGATGGACCTTACAGCCACAATTAAGGTTCTGTAACCTGAAAGCTTTCATCAGTTGCAATATTCAGATATTCGAGATAGAACACGAATGTTTAAAAAAAAAAAAAAAAAGAAAAAAAAGAAAAACCAAACCAACATATCTCGGAAGCTGCAAGTTAAAGCTTCTTTCTTAAACAAAATGCCAACATAATGTAAGTTTTGTGAGGGCTTGTTTGTTCGGTTGGTTTTTTTTTGTTGAAAATTTGACAAAATTCATTGCAAATCTATCACAGCATGTATATAATTTCAAGAAATTTAGCAGCTACCAGGATATACATTTAATCTTATACACACACATTGACATCAGATGTTTCCATATACATTACTTAGAAAGTACTGAAATACAGGATGAGGCTGTAACCACGTGAACTCAGAATAGCATTTATTACTGGGAATAGCCCTGATTAACTGAAGTAAACTAGTGGGAACCGTCCACGTCATCACCAGGTTTGGCGTTCCTAATTTCTTCTTCCACCTGTCACTCCTGACAGCACCGTCCTCAAAACTGAACCGGTACATAGTTTTTACATTTTGAATGGGCCACTTGACTTCTCTGTTGCTCAAAACTGTCTGAACATACATTAAGCAGGCAAAGAATATTATGTTCTTTTAAGTACTTCTGAACCTTATTTTTCTTGGAACTAGTGACTGCAAAACAAACACCTAAACCCTATTCAAACTTGGTTGCGGTGTGACACCAGTGTGCTTACGAAATAGGAACACAACAGGACAATTACAGCATTCTTTCAGATTCTTACTCCATTCTTTCTCTGCTTTTCTGAAAGAAAAGTAGTAAAATATGATTTGTTTTATACTTGAGTGTTAGTGCATGAAACCATCAAAAGGACACAGAAATGCTATATACATATAATCTAAAATGGTAAAATATATTATAGTCCAGCAAAGCCAACAAACTATACCCGAGAAAACCCAAAGCATTAATTTAGTGGTTTTCTGGATATGTTTTTTCTCATACAAACATTTTTCTATTTATTTTATAACTTCTATTTCAGTTGATCAGAATTGAGAGGGTGGATACATACACAAAACTTCTATGCCTCCTGAAGGTCAGCTGTCCTTGAAATAGAAAAGGTTATAAAATTTCTCGTACTAACCCTTTTGGCTCTGAAAAACTGCCAATTGAGGCTAATAATTTACATTTTCTTAGCTAGCCTCTTTATTGCAAACAATTCTATCACTTTTCTCACCTCCAGGAAAATACCTTCAAAACTGGAAGGTAACTTCAACACAAAACACTGCTCTATGTTGACACGATGACAGCAAAACTGACTGTACATTAAAAATACTCTGAGAGCTTGAAACTGCAAAAATCTTTGTGTGTGATTTTCTGCTGCTTAGTGGAATGCTAGCTATATAATAGGATGGCCAAATTAATCATGCAACTAGCTGTTTACAATGAATTACAATCACAAACAATAACTACACAGACACTTTCTTCCAAAATAAGTATGGGGCTCCCGCCAAAACAGCTGCCTCCTCCTTGTCACCAACCCATCACCCCTCTTGTACCAGCTGAATATAAGCAACAACAAAACAAACAAATCCTGTATCCCATTGGAGCTGATCTTTGATCCAGCTCCCAGTGTGACACCAAAACATCAATAGGAGCAAAAGCAAGCTGTCAGGAATGAACAGCTGAGGGCAAAGGAGGAGAGCACAGCAAATCCCCATGTCCACAGCAGTTCAGGCTCAAGACAAAACTCAGGCCCAAGGCAGATACCAGCTCCTCAAGGTTAACATCTGATCTATAAAAAGGGAACTAATATAAACTTCACAGATCCTCTATCACAGCATATTTGCTCTAGAACTAGTAGGAATCTGTAACTGCAATAAGCTTCAGAAACTCCTGAGTAGTTCATTGGGGAAAAAAAAAAAAAAAATAAATTTAGATTTCCAGACAAGCACTCAAGCCCTTCTTTTATGTGATGTGTATCTATTGACAGAAATGAACAAGAAAACTTTATTATGAACCTCACAGGCTGATAGGGCAGAAACAGAGTTCAAGAATCAAGAATTGCTTCTTCATGGCAGGTAGCAAGTCAAAGACCCAACACTGAAACAAGAGGTGAAATCCACAGCTTAGAGGAAAAACCCAAAAGCCCCACACCAAACCCCCTCAAAAAAGCAGCCAACATACTTGTTCTTGTGAAACACCTACCTGTTCCATGCATAGAAACAGAACGACCGATTTTTCAATGTTTGACCATTTCCCTTGCAAATTTGGCGTATCAGCTTTGACCAAAGGTTTATTATTTTATCTACAACCAAGTCTTACACTCCCAACTGAAGTCATATGAGAGGGAGAAGGGGTATTTCCTTACTTAAAGCTAGATCCATTTTTCATACAAATAGTTGATATAGGAAACTAAACAGTCACACTGCTGTACTGTGCTGTCCTAAGTGGCACTAATGGGAGAAAGAAGGTTTGGATAGCAAGTTTCCCTTTTCTTCCCCCTCCTCGTCTCTCAACATACATGTTTCAGCTAACTCCCTAGGCTTAGCACACCAACACTTTGATCTCAAAAATGAAAAACAGCAGCAGCGAACTGAACTGCTGGGCTTAGATCAGTTCAGCAGACATAAACCAGCTATGGTAAGGAAAATTAACCTATCTAAACTTTGCTACCTTTTAAAATTTACATGTTGCTTATGATTTATATAGTGTATCAAATTTTAGGAATGCCATTAAAAACATTTCTAAAGTATCTGTTCAAACGTACACTTGGGTTTTATAGTGTTTTCTTGTTGCAGTATATAGGAGAGCAAGCATGCTGGCACTGAGCCCTCGTGCACAGTGATCTTAATAGTAGGCTTGTGCGTAAACTTTCCCCACGCATGACTCAGTTCTTCTGAAGGCAGCACTTCCAGTGCCGGTGCAGAATTCATCTGGTGCAATTGCTGTTTATATTGCTTGCATGTGAATATTTGAGTCTCATAGTCTCCAGTCAAATGCCTCCTATGCCATATGCAGAAGAAAGAGTCTTTATGTCCAAAGAGCCTATAATTCAAGGTACACACAAGACACATACAAGCAGTCACATGAGAATCTAAGAAAACAGCAATGATAATAATGGTCCCAATGTATGTAATTACGCACATATGCACAGTCTCATATACAGTCCTTTTTTTAAACCTTATCCGTGCAGTAAAACTTTCCCTTGTGCTAAGCTTAAAGTAAGTCACTAGAACTGTATCTATGCCAGAAAACAACACAGGATTAGGGACTAGGCTGAAGCCCTGGACTATGATCATCCAATACTGTTTGTTAGCACTTTCTTAATTATATTTATGACCAGCATCAACTAGACATTCTTCCAGGCAACACCTGGGCACAGATCAAAGGACGCATTTTGCCAGAGCCTTTTCCCAGGAGGAGACCTGAGCTCTGCAGATCAGAGCTACACATAATGCACCACCACAGGACCAGGCAACTGCTTCTGGCTTGCACTATTTCATGCATCACATGGCCTCCCATTCCTTCTGATTACGATTTGCAGGGAAGCAGAGGAAACATTTTAACTATAGCATTTTAACTCACAAAGGAGCACTGGTGGGCAGAACACTTTGAGGAATGTTCTCAAAGTTGGTATGCCCATGATAGGCTGCACCGCACCACATGTGACCCACATTGGTGGGACAGTAACAGCTCCTGGCACGTCAAGAAAGGCTGCTGCAGGAATATTACCATCTCTTATCTACCCAGGACTTTACACCCTGTCTACATCTGGGGGAATGCTAAGTGGATGCGTGAAGGAGAATGGCTGTGGGCATTTCTCCGCCTCCATGTAAGATGCCAAAAAAGTGAAAATGTTGAGTCCAGCAGACAGCACAGCATGCAATTCATGCACTGCAAATACACATCAATAGCTCACAACTCAGAGTTAGCTTTAGCAAGGTTTCAATTCCACTGGATACACAACCTTCTGTATTTTAATCTCCATACTGGGCTGAATCTTATGCTGTGTGATTAGGGTTATCTAAACAGTTATCTGAACTCCTGCCGGGGAGAACTGGTTTGTCCAGGTAAGGACAGCTCCATCATGAAATTAAACACAACAAATCTAATAACCAGATGGAAAACTAACAGAGAGCACAGTGCTGCAGACAGAACCATTGCCTTGTGGAACTGAGATGGACCTTCAGCAGCTTAAAGCTTCTTCTAACTATAATCTCTTGCCTTTTATCTTTGACTGAAATCACAGTAGAAGCAAATCTACTAAAAGAAATGCTATAAAAAAGTTTTTTGATATTTAGCTTGGGGTTGGTTTTTTGTTTTTTGGTTTTTTTTTTTTTTGTTTGTTTTACAATACAGAAAACCTGAGAAATAGGTAAGTGATGAGACTACAGTAATGCATAACCTCTGGTAAGGGACTGAAAAAATCAAAACCAAGAAGCAGGATAGACAGCATTCTTCCTATTTCTAAGGAAGAAGCAAACCAACACTATAAATGCCCAGAATTCATCTGCCCAAAGATTCAGGGAAAACTTATCTTTGCTAGAGTTGTGAGTCTAAAATTATCAGATAAAGTGATAATTTCTCTTCCCCAGCCTCTTCTGATGGTGACCATACTGTTTGCATGTGAGAGAGCAATCTTTAATTTGACATGCGTGTCAGGATAAAATTACACCACCTGCCCAAGAAATAAGGGCTGAAGTTCCACTGCTTGAACTGTTAGAAGTCTATTAAGTAGTTAATCAATGATGTACTTCAGATTCATATTCCTAATCACAGCTTGCATGTAGCCCCAGTGATGCAAGAAAGCTCATTTAATGCCCACAAAATGCTGCCCTACTTTTGAGGTACCACCTAACACAAGGCTTGGCAAGCATGCTCACTTTGTATTTGTTCTCCAATTTGGCAGGGGTAGGAATGTGGCCTCTCCTCCGGAAGGTTGTAAAGTGCTTGCACTGAGGGCATGGTTTGGTGCTGGAGTCAATGCGGCTGAGTTCCAGGAAATACTTATACTTGATGATGTCGTCATGGGGCAGGTTATAGAGGACAGTTGTTTCATCCAGGTGCTCGCTGCATTCTGTGATTGGGCATTTTATATCCGCTTGTCCCAGCTGCACCTGCATATGAAAAAAAACAGAAAAGCTGAAAGATCTTTTGCTTGGCAAAGAAATTCTGTGAAGAAACTTAATTTCAAGTACTGTAACAATCCACAGACTATCAAGCATATCATCTTAAAATTATTTTGACTTAGCTCAAGCACAGTGCAGTCTTTCCAAAGAGTATTTTCAAATCCAAACTGAAAAGATAATTCCCTCATGACAACTGCAGTTATTAAACATACAGTCTCAGTGTACATACCACAGTAAAACCAATACGCAAGTCCTAACTAGGAAGACCCATCTAGCACTCCATGCTCTGGGTGTAATGGTCCGTGTTCCACTACCATGGCTCACACACGCTGTGAGGAAGCAGGCAATGGGAACATTTGTATACTGTTTCATTGCAAAACGTGCTAGGAATCACAGCTCAGATAAATTAAAAGTCAGTTTATGATCATCAGACTAGCAGCTCTGACTCAGTGCTAGCCCTAAGCTGGTTCCTGTTCAGCAACCCTCTGCAGTCTGCTTTCAAGAAGCTCCTTACATGCCATGCAGCATGCACATAAAGTGTTAGCTGAGCCTGGGGCTGACCAAGCTAGTAAGTTTCCCAGAACTCAAGAGTAAGAGTTTAAAAACAATCCCCCCCAAACAAAAAAAACCAACCCCAACCTTAAAAAACAAACAAACAAACAAAAAAAAAGACCAAACTAAAAAGACAACCAAAACAAAACCAGGCACAGACGCAAGTTCAAGGTTAACAGGGCTGAAACTGTTGTTGATCTTAAGAGCCCTGGATGGTCCCAAGCTGATCTGTATGGTCAGATACCCACAATGCTTTTTGAGAGCTCCCTTATCTGAGCACAGTGCTGGACTCTGGTCTGTACCCTTCACGCTTGGCAAGCTTTAACAGCTGGGACTCCATGCCAAAACAGCAGATCCTACTTGGTCTGGGAGCTGCAGAGTTGCATTTGCTTGGCACTGAGCCCAAGCTAACAAACCCTGCTGGATTTTGGGAGTCTGCAAGGACCCAGCTTGGGCACTTTTGTGTCTGCCTCAAGTAATCTTGAATGAATGAGGGCTGACTGTACAAGCAGTGCTGACCACCAGCCCAACTCCTTCCTTACAGAGCATCTTTGTGCAGAGAAAAAGAGAGTTTCATGGTGCAACCAGCATCTCTTTCTAGGAATTACTGTTTCAAGGTTGGCAAGTTTGATCTCCCTGGACTGCTCATTTTCTAATGTGCTCCATTATGGGAATCTGCAAAACAATATGCTAAATGTGACAGGAAGTCGTCAGATTTGGATGCAGATCTCACTGCTGCATAATGGTACCAGAAGAAACGTCAGAGACCCCACTAATACTACATTTAATGTAAGAAAGCAGGAGAAAAAAAAATACCGAACCAAACCAAACACAACACAACCCTGTCATTGCTGCCTCAGCAACAGTGCCATATGGGCTCTAACTGAATGATAATTATCCAGTCAGGATTAGAACAGTCATAACAAAACGGTGTAAAACCCAAGGTTCATCTGACTTGAAAAAAAAAAATAAAAAATATCCTATTGCACTACCTTTGTCCTCTCAGCAGTGTAGATAAACTTAAGCAGAACAAAGACAGAAAAGCAAGGTGAGGATGGTGGCAGCCCACCCTAGACCAGAGCACAGTGGCAAACATCTCAACAAGCAATCACTGCTGCGGTGTCCTGAGCAGCCCCAGTTCAGGATGCAGGCAGGCGAAGATGGAGGCAGATCTGCCTGCAATACAGAGGAGAGGCAGCTCCCCCAGCAATACACCCGCTTTCCCAAATTTAATTTCCAGCTCTAAAAAGTGAGCAGAGCTCTACCACATGCAAACAAGGCCAGGCTCAAACAGTTCAGCTTTTACATGGACCCATATAAGTACAGGAGTAGTATGCAAAGGTATTATGGCGTTACCCCCATCCCTCCCAAAAAAACCTACCAATACCACCCCCAAATCCCACCACAAAGCAAACAAAAAAATCCCCCACAAACAACAACAAACTATATGCTGGAGAGCGTCCACATTTTATACCTGTAGGACACTAATTCACCTGTAGCAGCAGCATGTGAAAATTGAACTCAAGCATATGACATCACTAGAGACACTCTTGTCAGAAGAATCATCTAGTACTTAAAAAGCTGTGCTTATAAAGCAATAGATGATCAATCCAGCACTAGAGCACTTAAACATACTAAACTAAGAAAACAATTTGCTACAGAAATATCAAAAGCTATTGCACTACTGCTTCTGTTCAAAGAAGTGTAGGTACAACAATTTAAAACAAATAGTCACATTAATCCCAGCTATGACTACTTTAGGGTTTTGGGGGGTTTTAAGCATTAAAGAATTACTATGAGACAAGCCCTTTTGCTAAGACTAAAGTAAACTACAATGGAGTAACACTTCACAGTGAGAAGGCACACTGTATCTGGCATCTAAGCTGGTGCTTAAGAAGCACTGTTAACATTAAATGCTAGTTAGAACAAACCTGCATTTATAAAATGAAGGAAGGCAAAGCTGAACACTTTCTATACTTCATGCCCACAGAGATTATGATTAATATATGTGGTAAGAGTCAAGTGTGGTTTCACTGTTTATTTTGAAAATATGTTTTACGCCCACCTGAAGTAAATCATTTTTATCCTCTGTAATAGTTTCAGCCTTTAAAGTCTGACAAAGATTGATCTTTTCCTGTGTTTTGAATGAGACTGAAGTGAACAGAGCTGGTTTGCTTATTAGCAGTAACTTCAATGGAGCCTTGTCTTACCAAAACAGTCCATCTTTGTTTGTGCCCTAGCATCAGCAATTGATTTAAGTACAGCTTTAGAGGCAGCCTCTTAGGCTACCTGCTGCTGCAGACCCAGGAGGTGGTACTGAATGAGAGAAAAAAAAAGAACACACCAAAAATGTCTTATAACATGGGTAAAATAACTGGGTTTCTTCTTTCCACGATTTTTTAAAATCATTTTGAAGAGCCTTATCCTTTAATATCAGCTTACCACAATGTCAAACTCCTGAGTTTCAAGAAGTCTTTGAATTTCAAAATACCACTGTGCATTGAGAACTTCAGAACTCTCAGTACACAAAACAGCATGGTGTATTTTCACAGCATGAGGAACGACACAGGTATGTCTAAAAGCAGTTGAACTGCAGTATGCTGTTAAATGTCAGGCAGCATCCAGTTCTTACACTGAAATATGCTTCAATTCTGTAGAGCATCTCTGGAGAGGCTAGCTCTGCTTCCAATTCACAGGGAGGAAGCAGGCTCTCGTGACTTTCACCCTACAGAAAGGTAACATTCAAACTATCAGGAAAGCAATGCATACACACTCTTCATCCCCCCAGTGCTTGACATTTGAAAAATGGGGGGTGGGAGGGCATGTGGAGGACACACACCAAACTACACCAGTCCCCTTACTGCCCCCAAAAAGCAGTGGTACCATCAACGGAAAACACAAACAGATGGCACAGTACTTTAAGTCAGAAAATTATTTCTGCCCCCTGAGTTTTCTTTTAAAGGAAATCTTTTGCTTGTTACACTGAAAACAAAGTTCAAACTACACCAGAGAAGCACTGACTTATACCTGTCATTTAGCCTGGCCCAAGCTAGATGCAATGTAACCAGTGCAGGCTGTACCTGGGCAGCTGTACTACAGTTACATTCCTTAAAGAAGGGGCCATTCTACTTTAAAATAAACACAAATGAGCATTTTTTAACTGAAACTTTATTCTTAGTTCAGGGATGCACATGCTGAATTGCTCTTAATTCTCACACATTAATGATGAAAGTGAACAGTGCCATGTCTAATCTTCACCTCTGTAGAGAAATTCAGTTTCTACCAGTGCACCAAATTCTCCCTGTAAACTATCAAGGATGTTATTTATACATAAATAAAAAAGTATTTTGGAAATGCACAGATGCAAATGAAGGGACGGTCTGGTCTACAGGACCTTCATATTCTACAAGTGAAGAAACAAATGGATTAAAGTTCCCTTTATTTAAGGCAAAATCCCATTGCTCTTTAGTTTACTGGAAATGATGCTCTTTAATTCTTCACTGATCTGCAACTTGCCTGCAAAAATTACTTTTCTTGTAGGTCTGGCAAGCAGAGAACATAATTTTGAATTTGTTTTCTAAAAATAAACAAACCAACAAACCAACCCCATGGAAAATACTTGAAGGGCTTACCATGGTTCAGGACTCCATAGTGGTAGGTGCTAACCAAATGAAATCCAACTAGACGTGACTCAACAAGTCCAAACCAAAGTCAGTGCAAACTTTTTACTAAGCATTCTGCACCTGCCCTTAAGGTCGTGGTTCTATGACTGTTTTTGTGGTTTGAGTACTAACTTATTAAAAAAAAAAATCCTATCAAATAGACTCTCTTTTTCAATCCATCCATCCTTCCTCCTTACTGTCAAATGGTGCTTCAAGACAAGCAAGAATGAACAACTAGAACAGTAATTAGAGTAGGGACTCCTTAAGCTGCATCAGCACCAGACAGGAAAACAGACTGGGTTTCTTGTGTGGCACTTCCTCCACTGGACATCTTCACACAAGCTCTTGCCTGTTGCGTATTACTTCACAAACCATACTCCATGGGTATTTTTCACTTTTATTTCCCTTTTCATTCATTTCTCAATACAGCAGACTTGCAAGAAATTACTTTCTGAACCCCTTTCTCATTAAGTTGCCCCACCAGAGTTGTCTCCTCTGTCAGTCACCTCCTGAAACCTTGCTCTAGCCAAGAGCCATCGCTCCCCTGCTCAGGAGTAAAGGGCTTCACTAGCCCATATATTTCTGGCCTCAAAAGGATCCAGAAAGAGTTCAAAACCATAAGGTTCTCCTGCATGCTGGCACTGCATTAACAATTGGGGGTGGAGGGGTGGGGGGGTGTGTGTTTGTTGGTTTTTCTTTTTTTTTTTAGTTTTAATTAATTTTTTCTGATATATCAGGAAATACCTGAGTGACCATCAGAATAACTAGAATGGCCAGTCT